CTCTCTTTTGTAGGGAGCGCGATGCCTGCCGGGCGGCGGCGGTGCAGGCAGCCGATTGGCTGGCCGAGCGCGCTGCTCCGTTCGGCTCCCCGATTCGTCGGGCTGCGCGCGGCCGCCAGCCTTTAAAAGGACGGCGCGCCGCTCCGCAGGCATCTAACCCAGCACCCATGAGCGTGACCCCACCATCCATGCTAGAACCACTCATCTCAGTGCCACAACAATACCCGATCATGGACAGCATCTCGACCGGAGGTCTCCTGACCCACGCACAGGTCGACACTCTCGCAACAGCGTTCATCAACACGAACACAAGAAGCAGCATCCAGAATACCTTAACCAGGATGGCGTCAGGCGAGCAGATAGCCGGAGGAGTGGACCCAGGTATGCTCTTCACACCACAACACGCAGCGGCACTCGTACAACGCGGAATTGACAAGATTTGGGGCTGGGTTGGCACACTTGGCCAACTTGCATCCAACGGGATAGGCCTGTACCTCCTCTACAGAATCATCAAATTCATACTCTCTAGTGCACTAAACTGCATAGCACTTAAGGAAATCACCGGCTGGTCGCCAGCCCTCATAGCAGGACTATGGCACGCAGCAACAAACTTCCTCATCACAAGAGCAACGAGGACAACCCAACAAACGCAAGAACAGGAACAAGGCGAAGTGACAATCGCAATGCCAACAGCACCCCAAGAAGACCACCACTGGAAAAGGCCAGGTAGCGAATCAAACAGAAACCTTTACTCTACAGAGGAAGCCCAACCGAACGAGCAACAACTGCTCTACCCCACAATGTACCCAAGCACACCAACATGGACTGCTCGATAAACTGCCCCGAAGCACAGAGCAGCGTGCGGGAACAACAAACCGCTGCGCCAACCACATCAGACAGCAACCTGCCAACCACGCCACAGGAATCCAGGTCAACCCAGCCAACAGCACGGAGCCCCAACCTGACGCATCAGCACTTCAGAGCAAATGACGCTAACTCCCAAAACACAAACAATGCCCCTACCAGGGGACCGGACACCTATATAAACCCAAAGCACGACCAGATGAGCACACTCTCACCAAGGCATCCCAGCAGCAACAGCCATGGACTCCAAGAGCGACATCATCCTCCTGAACGCCGACGGCACCGAGGCGGTGCCTCAACCACCACCAGCCGACGAGGACTGGGACGCCCCGGAGCCCACCCTCCCCGACCTGCCTGGGGCCACCTGGCCCTGGACATACACCGATGGAGGGCGCCTGGAGAGGGTCCGGGTCACCTCCAATCACGAACGTCACGACGACGTCCTCACCTTTTCCGAGGAGGACGAGCACCGCTACCAAGACTGGACGCCAGAGGACATCTGGCGCCTGCTCATGCGCTACCGGTGGGCCCGCCTCGGCCTCCCGGACCCAAACGACGAGCACCAACACTTCCACCCTTCAAACAACTGGAGTCACCGGTACACCGAGCAGGAAATCGAGGCCTGCTCCAACCCGGACTGCCCAGCCCACGGCGGTCGGGTCCGCCGAGAAATTTCGCCAAAGAACTGGGTGTCACCTGTCCCCCAGCTGAAGCAGCCGATCGTCCAGTGGACCCGCGGGGCAGCAGTACCTACCAAGCCTTACTGTTCCAACTACTATTGAATAAAACAATCCGCTCAACTGATCTTCTATGCATCGCCCATGAATCACCCCAGAGCCTCCGCCAACCACCAACCAGTACACTCAGAACAAGCAGACGTCAAGACACACGGACAACCAGCAGCCAACCACAGCACGCGGACCGCCAACCAACCAGTCAACTAGCTCCACCAACCACCTTGACACAAGCCAGCAGACACAATACCACCGCACCAGCCAACCGCTGCAAATGGATTGCCAACCACCCATCTCAAACAAGCCAACAGACACAATCTTGCTGCACAAGCCAACCACAACACGTGATTTGCCAACCTGCCAGCCAACCAGCTCCACCAACCACCTCAGAAAGACCCAGGCAACCACTCAAGTTGCCAACCGGCAACGACACCAGGACGCCCACCACCGAGACTTCAAAGTACACTGCGACTCACCGCGCAGCGACCAGCACACAGCACCCAAGAAACCAACTCTTATATGCAAGACCTGGCATGAGCCCTTGTTAATGAATCTATCTAGAACCTAAGCAAATTGTTCACACAATAAACCCACACCGCCCACCCACCCACATCACAATCCCCTCTCCTAAACTTAGGTCCTTGGTAACGACCTAAAAACACTCCCAAGCACACGCCCCCAAAGAGATGTAGGAACCCTGTATTCCGAACTCTACTGTTCTCGGCGAAAACACTCCTGGCGCGCAGCCAAACCCATCCCTGTCCCCCATGACACACCCTAGGACCCTCAAGATGAACTGTTTTTTAGACCGAAAGGTAAAAACAAGAATGTACTAAGCTCTTTGTAACCAGTGTAACATTGAAAACAGACAATAAACCATTTCTTAAGTCTAAGTCTAAGTCCGCAGGCATCAGTTCGACGTGCTCCTTCGTGTAGTACACTTCGCACTTTGTCAAGATGACCGGCCGAGGCAAGGGAGGAAAGGGATTGGGAAAGGGCGGCGCCAAGCGTCATCGTAAGGTGCTGCGTGACAACATCCAGGGAATCACCAAGCCCGCCATCCGTCGTCTGGCTCGCCGTGGTGGAGTCAAGCGTATCTCCGGT